TGTCAAGAACAGGCCTTTTCTAACAGAATCGTGAATGCGTCCAGAAAACAAAAAATGCAAACGTCAATGTCTTGGTATTTATGTCAAACCCTGCCCCAGCTGTCGGGAATTTCTGCCTTAGCAGCAGCACTCAGTTTGCTTAGCCGGGGCACAGCCAGCACCGCATTACAGCTTACACAGCCGCTGGAAAGGTGCTGCTTCCAGGGGTTACTCTCGAACATCTGAGTGCATTGCCACAACGGTTACAGAGAGATGCTGGGTGCTACAGAGGAGAAGGGCTCAGGCTCAGACTGCAGCTCCCATCCCAGCTGCACTGGCACTGACATGGTGCAGGTACGCAGCACTGCCCAGCACCACACGGCACTTTCCATCCAGGGCTCCCAAAGCACATTGTAAGGGAGGTCTGCTGCAATTTTCCTCTTACAGAGCAGGAACCTGAAACATGGCAATAAAGTGATTTGCTCTGCTGAGAGGGGACTGGCAAACAAGGCAACAAAGCTGCAACCCAGAACTCTACCCACAACACAGGGGAGCACACAATGGAAATCAAGGTTTGTTGCTGAAAAGCCCACAGGACTCCCTGAGATATAAAACAAAAAGTAACGCAAAGGCAGGCTCTACATCCACAATCGAAAAGGCAGCGAGACTACAGGATTCAGCAGTAAGTACGAATACAGAGGGCAATGAGTTCCCAAATGGCTGCTGGAAGGGGATTGCGTAGCTAACGTACCAGAACCCCAAACTGCAAAGCTGCTAAGGGTAAGGTTAAAGGAGTGATGCTAAAGAGGGCAGGATTGAAGCACAACTTACACTTTAATAAGATAGGGATGACTGTGACAACATTAAGACTGAGTTGTAGTTGTGCCACAATTATAACCTAACTAGCCTACAGTCAATGGACCTGCACTATAAAGTGCATTGGAACTCAAAAGAAAGGAAATGAAGGGAAAGGATCAGAAAGCATGAAGTCGGTGAGTACTTTTATTTTCAGAACCTGGTAAGCTTGGCTTAAAACGTCAAACAATTTCCTGCCACAGATCATCCAGGGAAGGATGGGGAGGACACACCCACATGATCTTGTCAGGTACCTTTTGGTGCAGATGTCAGGTGGAGCCACATCTTTTTGCATGGCTTTTTTTATGGTGTGGTCATTTTAATCCCATCCCCTAGTTGAGGGCGGATGTTACATTCCTGGCTGCAGGTCTTTTGCAGGCCAAGGATTCCCAGAAGCACAGAAAGCACACGTCTTTTGCTGCCAGGAAAGCATGCGTGCTTGTGATTTCATGCCACAAATTGTTTGCTAAAAAACAACAGCTCCCTGTAACATTCCCAGAGCTATTATCCTTAGTAATTTTTGCATCTCTCTTTACATTTCTACCTTAAGGCCAAATAATTATGGTGAAATCAGGGCAAATCCAGACCCCTCTTCCAGATCCTGTGGTCTGCTCTAAACAAAACAAAAAAGTGTCCACACCAATGTATTAAGCATCAGTCCAAAAAAAAAAATTATACTACTATGGTTTCATTGTCTCAAAAATGCATAATCCCACATACCTTACGGCACACTTGTTTCACACTAGACTTAACAGTCCCAGTACAGAAATTAACTTTAGTGCAGAGACCATGAAGTTTTGAACAAGTAAAGCACCAAGCTTGCGAAGGTGGAGTTGCTGCAGCAGCAACGTGCTCGGACAGTCACCGGACCTGGAGAGCCCCCCGCAGTGCTTCACCCACGAGATACAAGTTCATCCCATTTCCCTTGATCTCAACCTCACCAGGCGTCAGATAAGCCATAAGCCATTTGAAGCTGCCCTGAGTTTTAGCAGTCAGCAGCAGCCCAAGCAGTGGTATGGTGGTGGGAAAAGCCCATATAGGTGAGACCGCACTTATCTGATTAAAGTAACTTGCCAAGTGACTCTAAGACATTTCCTATGTGGTTAACTCTGCTGTGACCTTGCCATCACCTACAAACACAGAGAACATTTCAAATACATTAGCTTTTCTTCTCAGAGCGATGGGGGACTCAAGTCCACACCAAACGATAGCACTGGCTCACCAGGAAATCAAATTTTACTCACATACATTTACAGAAAAAAATGAAAATGCCTCAAAAGGACCTTTTATCAAAGACCTATTTCCCACTTGAAAAACATACTCTTAAGTACTACATTCCAGACATCTCCATAGCTATCTGCATACATATGGAGGCTGTAGGGTTGCGGGTTTGCGGTTTGTTTGGGGTTTTTTGTTAACTCTAGCATTTCCTAGGGAGGGGAAGGGAGGGGACCATTTGTAATAGTTGTATTGCTGGCTGTGCTGGCAATTAAAGCAGATGGCAGATGCTCTCTATTAATTTCTTCCTTCCCCCAAAGGGGAAGGAAAGGAGAAAAGGGAGAG